GGGGGGGGGGGGCCAGAGGAGGAGGGGAGGGTCTCCAAGAAGCCCAGTCGGTCCCTGGCACGAAGCAGAGGCTTCGCGAAAGTGCAGTCGGGGGGCAGGCAGAGCTGGGGCGCTGGGCTCACCTGACTGTCCCGAAAGCCTCCCTCGCAGACGCTCCCTTACCCCGTGTCTCTTCCTTGAGCAAAGCAAGTCCCCTGAAGCAGGGCGGGGACTGGGGAGCTGGGGACTGGAGAACATTCCGGGGCACGCTCGGTGGGTCTGACGGTCGGTGGGTCTGACGGCCGTGCCTCTCTCTGGAGTGCTTTCCGCAAAGCGTCGTCCTGTTCCTGGGCTGTGCTCCAGCCCCGACCCTGGCCTCCCTCCCGGGTCAGCTCCTCCCAACACGGGTGCGAGCTCGTAGCCCCTGGGCCGATCTAGGCTTGTCCCGGCCGCGGGTGTCCGGCCAGTAGTTGGGCCAGGTGTGCCTCGGCATGCGTCCCCGCCTGCCAGAATGGGCTCATCCCTCCTGAGGGGGGTGTCTTGGCCCCGTGGGCCCCCCCCCACCCCGTTCTAGAGCAGCAAGTTGAAACTTGCTTGCATTATGCCTGGACGCACGGCAAACTCAGAGTCCTGGGAAAGTCCGGGAACCAGAACACCAACTGGAAAGAACCCTCCCCCTGGAGGGTGGGGTGCCCGCCGGAGGCCTTCCCTCCTGGCTCTCCCCGCCCCTCGTCAAGGCCTGGGCCACGCGGAGGGCCCTGTCAGCTGCCGCTGCGCCTGGCCTTGCGTTAAGTGCTTCCCGCGAGTGGCTGTTGTCCCAGTAAGTCACCAGAAACGCTAGAGGGGTCTGAGTTGGCAGCTTGCCCAGCGTTTCGTGGGCATCTGACACATGAGGAAACCAAGGCCTGGAGACCGAAAGCGCTTTGCCGTGACCTTGCTCATTCTCGTCTGTGAAACAGGGAGGGCCGAGCTGGTTGAGGGCTGGAGCGCGGAGAGACAGGCGGCTGCGGCTGCGTACGGCGGGGTCACCGGGCTGGGCCCTTGGGGCGTGCCATTTTCCCCACGTCTGGGCGCCGCCCTTCGGGGCCCCTGCTGCTGGGGGGAGGGGAGGGCAGCAGGGTTTGAGCCTCGGGTGCTGGGAACTGGGGACAGGCACAGCCCCTCCTCTTCCCTTGTGCCGTCAGGGGCGGGGCCCCGGTCAGGGGCGGGGCCCCGGGGCCGTCTCTGGAGAGCCAGGCGCCCAGTCCCGGATCGGAAGAGGGCGGTGCCGACGCTGGACCGAAGCCCGAGCCAGATG